TAATGGGATACATTGTATCCTACATGGCAACCTGAAAAAAAAAAACAACAAAAACCACTTGTTAGTTTTACAGTTATGGTGTAAATGCATTAGATTCTATCAACATGGAGCTATAAAACAATAAGCTGTTAGTCAATCAACTTATTCAAATTAGTCTTATTGTTTCAGACAGAACTGCAAGCATTTAATGCATAGATATAACCAATATGTTATCTAAATTTCAATAAACCTTGTTCAAGTAAAAGAAGATTCATTTAAGTTTACTTCAAAAAACACTCTGGGTCAAGGTAAGGCTTCACACTTTTACTTTTTTGTCTAAAAGCCTAAGCAAAACATTAAGGTTTATGTATCAAATTGTGTGTCATTTTCATATAGAATCTCAAGAAATATAAAATAAATTTTTCATAATTATGAATACTGATATGGTTGCAAACGTCTGACAGAAATTAGTGCAACACTTAAGATTCTAAATCTGAACCAAATTGTCATAACCAACCAAAATAGAATAGTGACAAATATAACTAAATTTATGTATTAAGTGGTTTATTTTTCCTTTATCTGTGTTTATGCATTTATTACAAGATTTCTTGTCTTGTGATGTAACAAAGAAATGAAATTTAGTAAATGCTTCAAATGTAATACACTAAGGATGCTTTGCAAGTTTTCACTTATGAAACATACTGAACAATGTTACAATCTGTTCATTATGTGCCATACCTTATTAACTTAGAGTAGTTCATCAATTGTATGCAAAACTGATACAAATTAATCATTCTATTTATCATATGATGTAATGAAATTTTTAGAGCAAATGTTACTTTAAGATATTGCTTAGCACTAAGCTAATGAAAGTCTAACAAGTGCAATGAGAGTACAAAATCATAATTTTAGCATGACTCACCAAGTTTCAATTTGTTTAAAATTGGATTTCAATTTCATGCAGTCACAGCGGCGGTGATCTGATTTAGATCACAGGATCTAATATTACTGCTTACTATTTAACTATCAGTCATATACTATAAAATATATACTATATATATGACTGACAGTTAAATTGTAATGTAAGCAACAATACGAGCTCCTGTGATTTAGAATGTAACATGTCAGTTTTGTCAACATCATGGAAAATACATTTATTTTTTTCATCAGCTGAATCAGTTTCCTAAAAAAGTTTCTCTACAAGACCAACGGTCACCTCCCTTGGAATACAGGACTGGCCTGATCCAAAATTAGAGGGGCACTGCGAATTTCACTATTGGATTTCTTTTGCACTGACATGATGTAACAATGAGTCATCAGGTCATAAAACTTGTATAAAAGTTCCAGACAAGCATAACATGGACAATTGTTCCAGATTACAGGGCCAAGAGTCATTCCAGATCAGAAATTAAAAATTAGGTTATTGCTTGCCTTATTGTGATGCATAATCTTTTCTATTACATAATGATGACAATTAAACAGTTTTATACAAAATTAGTTTTTCAGCAATGAAAAAATTTGTATCCCATGTGCTTCAGTTTCAGACACTTCCATTTCTACTCAGCAAGATAACCTTTTAAAGTCTAAAATTTACTACAAGGCAAAATTTTGTAATAGTTATCTATATTAAATAGGGTTCTCAGTATTGCAAAAGGAAGATTTGATGATTCAACATCTTCCATCAAATGGAATCCATAACAAACTCCTGAAAGAGTTAAAGATAAAATTTAAGCATTTAGTTTCAACAGTGAAATGTAATTAGAAATAGTTTTTTTTAGAAAGCACTGAATAAGTTATATTTGTTCTTATAAAGGAACTATAATCATTATATAATAACAATTGCTGTGTGAGGCATATAAATACAAATGCAGATTGGTATTCATAGTAAAGATGCTGACATCCCAATTCACAAAGTATGGAATGATGCATGGACAATGAGCATTTCTTCAACAATGGAGACTAAAGAAGAAATGAATGTGAGAAAATAATAACATGCTAAATACTTAAATATAAGCCAGCAGGAGTCATGTAGTGATGACAAATTATTATAGTCCCCTGCTTAATTAAAAATGCATGCTGATAATATAGTTTAGTCCATGCCTGTCACTTTGTATATTATTTTAAAAATACAAAAAGATACATATTTGCAATAACACTATGATGTATACAATATTTAGCATAGATATTTAGTGATTTTTGATAAGTCAACCCAAAGGAAATTGTGGATAGTGGGTTAATGAATTGACAGAAAACTGAACAAAAGCACAATGAAGTGAAACTGAATATTAACACAGACCAAAAACAGAAACCATCTCAAACTCCAGCACATGATGTTTACCATTTGTTAGAGAGACAGCCTGTTCAGCTGGAGTTATGCTCTGTATGTGGAAATGTTTACAGATGGATGGGCACTGAAACAGCTAGATCTCCCTATATTGCATGCTAGCACTAGAGATGAGGTTCAAGATAGAAACAATACTTACCATGGACGAATGATAATGTAAAAATTCCAGGTATTAGTGATGGATGGGTCAATCCCTTTTTGGAGCAATCTGCTGCAGTCTATGCTCCTCTGTGGCATAACTTTCTTAATGTTGGAAAATATCCAATTCCAATGCAATCACGGGTCTCATTACATAAAGGAAGATCATGTGGTCCATTAGATTTAAATGGGGACTCAGCTTTCAAAATTAATTCTCTGATAACAGGTTTTATATAATTTTGTACTGTCCATTTGAGATCTTGAAAGAGAAGGGAGAGGACAGGGCCTTGTTGTTCAATCAAGAAGACATTTTCAGCACCATGGCAGCATCACATCCATCTGATATTTTATGTAAAATTTCAAACAATCCAGGATGATAATGAATCAAGCCACAGACTGGATAATTAGATGACAAAAAGTTCAGCAATCCACAAAAGATCTCAGGACACTGAATGGTGAAGCCATCCTCAAAGAAAACATCAAAAAGGCCTGATAAAGTTGGCTGATGCTGGCAAAGCTCATGTCGAAGCTCTTGAAACTGATAAATCGATCCCTTTCAAAGCATACTTCTCAAGCAGAAGCCTTGTCTTCTGATTATTTATGAAGACTGGCATTGTGAATGCTATAAATGGACAACAAAATGATGGCTTAAATTCAAACTGATTAACCACTTTGTGCATTATAATGGAAAGAAGAATATTACAAAAAAAGTCTTGTTACATTTTGTACAAGTCTATCAAAAAATTCAATATGGATATATTCATGTACTCAAAATGGATTTCAAGCAAAACTACAATAGTTTCATTAATGTAACTCATTTTTACAAGAAGTATCATCAGATAATGCATCAATGTTTGTTTTTCTTGGATCCAAAGTGTGATCATTTAAGAATACTTGCAATCATACAAAATTTGAAATATATATCTCATTCAAATAGGTAATGATGTAATGTTCAGTATTAGGAAGGAAATTTGTTTTATTTATTTTTATGATGAAAGACATTAATTGTTTTGGGCCAAGGAATTTTAGAAAAGATGAGCCTATCTATGCATGGTGGGCACAACTGAATGATACTGAATTGATTTTAACAAATGTATTGTAATGCATATTTAATTTTGCATTGTTTGCTAGATAGCATTTGTTTTTTTTTTCCTTCATTATATGCTGTGGGTAATGAAACTTTGTATCTAGTGGCTGACATTGTAGAAAATCAGGTACAGTTTTGTAGACAACTTTTTTCCTTAGTGAGGATCACTATCGTAAGCTGAGTAAAGTACATTACATTGTTTTTTTTAAATAGCTAGACATGGTAAATGTCATCTTTTATTGTGATTTTGTGAGGGAGAACTAAGATCTTTCTATTTGTGATAGACAAATGTACTTTTTAAACCTCATCTGGGACTTGTTTTGCGACTTAATTTGTCATATAACTGGAGTATTCTGATGTTGTTGTAGGGTTTAACACCATTTTTTCAGCACAAGATAGGCTATAAATGGCAGCCAGTATTAATGGTGGAGGAATAATCCTGGAAAACTTCGGGAAGAACCACCGACCCACAAGAAGCTACTGGCAGGCTTTCTCACTTACCCACGTTAACCGAGTCTGGACTCGAACTGACACAGACAGGTGAAAGTCTGTCATTCATGCTTTAAGATCTACCACAATCAATTTGTATTATTGTTGTGACCAGAATTTCTTTTGGGCTGGAATTTATTTCTTGAAATTATTTAAGTGATTTTTCTCAATAAATACAAAAGTGCTTTGTATGTTAATTATTGTACAAGTTATAATCTAAGGGAGACAAAAGGGGTGTTATTAATATTGCACTATTACAGATACCACTGTACTGACATTAGAGAGTTCACTCAGAAGTCTACAATTTACTAACCACTTGATTAATATAGCAGGCCAGGAAAATATGTGGGATGCAAGCATGCAGGTAAGATATTTATCGAATAGGGATAGTAAATAAAAACATAACAGGAAAATATTTTGAGCGCTTGAGAAAATCAAAGCAATGGCTTTTGTGAAAATCTTAGAATGATGTGTAGTATTAGAAAGGAATCCATACACACAACACATTAATAAAAAAGGTCTAAAAACTTACATTTTTTTCTTTTATGTTTGTTTTAATCAAACATTTTTTCAACAGCTGCATATCTTCACAACATTCCATTTGCCACCACAATAGCACATGTGGCAAGTGTCAAAAAAGTGATTCAAGGATCATAAATTTATATTTAAATTAATTTTTGATAAATACAAACTTCTTGCAAAACTAATGCATCTTTTAATTATTTTTTTAAAAAAAAATTAACACATTGTTAATATCTATAAATCTGTAACTAGGTTGTGGTGCGAAATAAGAAATCAATACCGAGGTATTACTTACACTTATTAGCAACTTGATTTACTGCAAATGAATACCATCTACCATGCATTTTGCATGTTGCATGTTGATTCTTTTATATATTTTATCAGATAAAATATCAGAAATAAACAAGAAATTTGCAAACATATATGTGCAAACATAGACATGACCACTCCAGTGGCCCAGTGGTTAGAGAGTCCACTTCAGATTTGGGAGGTCTTGGGTTTGAACCCCAGCCGAGTCATACCGAAGACTTATAAAATTGGCACAATCAGCTGCCTCACTAGGTACTCAGCATAAAGAGGTTAGTGTTAGGACAGATTGGCCTGGTGTCAGGATAATGTTACTGGGTGAGATATCATGCTACATGTCTGCAGCATGTTGCCCAGTGCTATACATCACTATAAACTCTCACACTGCAGAAACTGTAGAAATCTGAGTGAAAATTTTTAAAAGCTACATTAAAAATCTAAATAACACAAACACAAATATAGGTACAATAAAATCTGCAAAAAAAAAAATTAAAAAAATAATCCAGACTTATGTTTTGCATGAGTTTTCATGAAAACACAAAACAAAGTTAAAAGTACAACTCTATTCACAGATTATAAAAAGACAAAATAGTGCAGGAAATGACCTGCATGCAAAATTGACATAGTACTAATGCAAGGATGGACAGAGAATAATACCACATACCCCTATGATGGTGGAACAGGATTTGTATATTTTGCTGCACAAGTAACATAACTTAGTGTTAAGAAAAACACTCATAACCAAACTGGGATTGTCTGATCAATCCAAATCTGTATCTTTCTGGCAGACAGTTTTGCAAACAAAACAATCAGCCCCCACAGCATTATTTATTTCACACATACACTATAACTGTAAATCATCAGGATCAGATTTGTTATCATGATCTTCAGTGGTGAATAAATTTCAGCAGATACAGATATCAGTGCTCAAAGAAAAATCTTTTTGACAATGGCCTTGTCTTGGTGACAAGTCACAAAAAGGCCTAACTCAAATTCCCCAGACCTTGACCCCAATTTTCATATGCAAAGATTTACCTTTTTAAAAATATTATCTGTCATACAAAGTTGCAAATGATATACTCCAAATATGAATTTAATAGGGCCTGTGATGTTTGAAGGTAATGCAAGTGTCAATATTATTAACTAGACTCGCTGGATAAAAGATAGCACTGGTACTCAAAAACTTCTCTGAGAGAATTCTGGTCAGAACCAAGTTAGTTTTGGATGATCAAAGTTGTGTTATTAGCATGAAATGTCATGTGCATGTGTGATTAGGATTTATAATGTAGATTGTCTGGTCACACCTCTATCATGTTTGCAGTGTGGCAGTTTAAGTGACGTCTAGCACTGGGAGATCATGCCATAAGACATGTAGCATCATGTCCCACCCAGTCACATTATCCAGACACCAGACAGACCAGTACTAACACTAACCTCTTAATGTTGAGTGCAGCTGTTATTACTATTTTTATAAGTTTATGGCATGACTCGGCTGTGGTCAGAACCTGCAACCTCCTGCATCCAAGGCAGATGCTATTACCACTTATGCCACTGAAGCAGTTGTTATGGCATGTACATCTACATCCTGAAAATAAATTTAAGAATTTAATCAGTTCAATGAAGGTTCACCTGGCAAACTAGATGTTTTTTTTATAAACCTCATGGGTACCTCAATTAGAATACAGGAGAGGCACAATTGGAAATTGGTTATGATTTTTTTTAAGCACTTTAAGCAGAGACAAAAATAAAATATGAAGCAATACTTTCTTTCGGAATATAAGAAATAATAGCACAAAAATAATAACTATTAGTGAAAGAAAAAGAAAATATAGGTAAGGAAGATTTTACCAAAAGACAAGATTTTGTAGTGTAAAAATCTTACATGAAAAAAGCTCTGCAGTTTGCATCAACTGGCATCACGACTGTGTTGGCGTAGTAAGCTTATATATGAAGCATCTGTGTTTAGTGGAATCTGAAATAAATATTGCATTAATATGGCACATGTATCCAACAATAACTCTACATGCATTCCTACTGCATGTTCATGAAAGGTAAAGTATTACTTACACATTAAATGTGTGTTATCAAGCATTAGTCATGATTCTACATGTTACTGATAGTCAGATGAGGTAATAAATTAATGTAGTCAAGAGATATTCTTGATACAAGTAATGAAATATGAACCTGAATATTTGCTAATGAAGACTTGAAATATTTGTGAAAGAATAAATAATTGTATAAGAAGGCAAGTCATTTTTCTGCATCACACGTATACTGAAAAAATAGGACTTAAATTGACACTAACCTCTGTTGCATACATGATGCTTTCATTAGGGTGTAATATGCATGGCTTTTGTCAGACTTGAGAGACTTCTTCTCCTTCCTCTTATTGTCTGGGACTGAACTTGTGCTCTTGCTTGACAAAAAATAAGTCAGATGCAAAATGAGGAAGAAAAAGAAACAATATAACAAGTCAAATGTGAACTGATTGCTTAATATTGGTAAATGTAGAATAAATTAAACACAATGATTTTAACAGAGGTACAAATATGTTAAAATTTGGAAAGAGAAAAAAAAATAAATAAAAGTTTAAAAATCCATAATATAGTATTCTACATACAATAATATTGTAAAGCAGGGATCGCACTGGGTTTCACCACACTGCAAATTGGGATTTATTTTCCTTATTGGTGACAAAATATACCATGTGGCAATCTTTTTGGCAACAACATTAATTGCTGTTATAAACAGTCTTGGCTTTGCACTTGAGAAATTCAAAGGCACCATGATAGGAAGCCACAAACTTGGAAATAAATTGCTTTGGAATGTATTGTTACATAAACAAATCATTTGTTCATATTGACAAACCACCCTAACAGAGAAATGTTATATCAAAATCCGCTTATGCTGATGTCTGGCCTTAATACTCGGTGCTGTAATATAAACCCAAATAGTATTTCTACCTGACATGCTATAATCAACAATTTCTGAAGGTGAGAACAGATCTATCAGATGATGGCAATTTTTTTTTTTTAAATGTACCAGAAACAATAGTTTTGCTGAAACTTCAATGAAAACTGATTATATCTGAAGCACTAATTGTTCTTTATATATCCTAAGCAATCAGAATTTTATTTGTCTCCAATGTTTTACAACTGACGTAGCAATAACAGGCATTTGTTTGATTCTCAAAGAACACCATAATGGTGCCTTCAATAACAAATGAATCTTCATCAAAGCAAGCTGAAGACCTTTGATCATATAAAATCAGCAACAAACTTTAATAAGAAAATTGTTTCATTTTTCGTAGTAATTGGAATATATTTATTGTGCAGTGAAAGTTTTGTGTTTGCAACAAAAATGTTCATGAATATTATCGCTACTAATGTCAAGTTAAACCCAAATTAAAGTTCCAATATGTTGAAAAGATATCTGGCCGACAAGTTAAATGAAGGTGAGACATCTTGGAAGAATGTTAAAACTTTTTATTCATTCACATTTTTATTTCCCTGCAAATAGCAGCAGCAGGGAGGGTGAAGAGACCTCATTTTATAGCAGTCCTTTTATTGCAAATAAAGCTTCCTAGGTAGACAAATAATATAACCATATATATGCAGTCCTAATAATGAATTTGTAAATAAAGCAAGAAAATGAATAGTTATATTAAAGAAAGCACTCTTACTAAAAATAGACACACTCGCATGGTGCAATGCATGTTCTTGGATGTTTCGGTTTTGGGGGAAAAAGGGTCCTGTTTAATTATCTATATACTTTAGTGCTTCTGTGTTCTGTCTATGAATAGTAACAGTAATGTTTTATCAGAAACAAAGAAATCAGGACGAAGAGTATGGTTTAAAGAAGCTTGTGTATTTATTCCTATGTAGATGTATTAGGGGTTGTTTCAGAGAATGCTATAAATCTTGTTTGACTGCAATTTTGCACAAAACTTGCAAAAAATAAAATAAGTGGTAGTTTATTAAGCATTTTTACCAACTTGCAATTACAAGATTCTAATCTTGTTACTGATTTCAGTTAAAATTAATTACAATGTATAGCTTCTGCTGTGCCTTTTAAAGCATATGGCAGAAATACACTGCATGTATCTCAATCCAAACAAATATACTACCATTATTAATATTTGTACCTTAGTCCTTTTGTGGACACCAACCACAACAAAACAAGTTGAGGCTACAACATCGTAGCTAATATACTACAAGAATGATTAAAATGGGTATGAATATAATAACTTGTAAACATGTACAAATTTAGTACTAATATTAGTATCCTTACTCCTACCTTGTGGATAGGGTACTAACATGAGTCAATGTGTCAAAGGTGCAACAACTTGAAAATAAAGGTATTGTTTAAACCTGTTTAAAGCATACTGAGAAATGGAGCATATAAATAAGATAATGCAGATTGACTATAAGTGTATTACTGCAGCTTTGAAATAAATAAAATTTATTACAGAGACAGATATTAATATAGAGACATCATAAACGATTGATTTATATACCATTGACTAAATGCCATTTTTAATTTATTTCAAAGGCACGAACCCATGACAGTTCAAAGTAGTCCTACAACGTAAGCTCCATCACCCAGATATTTATATTCTGGTTGGGTAAACAAGCACGTACTGTCTTACATTGTAGGACTACAGTAAAGGTCAAAGTTAGGATTTGAACTCTGCCTATTGCTTCTAAATACAATATGTTCTTACATTATGCTCCTTGAAGTCTTCTACATTTGGTTAAATTCGAACGTCTTTTCTTGTTTTTGTCTAAGCCCTAACCGTTTTCAGTGTTTCTCTGGTTACAAAACCACTTGTTCGGCCATACATTCAAATTTCAAATTGTACGGTTCTTCAGAGTCGAGAGACGCTTACCGAATAAGATAAACAATGACTGGCCCCTAACTGGAGAAACTGATCACCATAAATTTGATAAATACCTTTTACATTATAAAAAAAAATAATTATTATTATTCTTTTCATCAGACTATTTTTTATTAAGTTTTGCATAAGAGTTGTAGTATTTAGTGGATTATATGAGTTAAATTCAACAAGGCTGATAAGCAAAGCTGATAGCCGTTTTCTGGCTGCTATCATATCTGGGAGAGAGGCCAGGGACCAGACTATTTAATTTTAACTTTATGGTAAATACATTTTAAACTTGATTTTTGAGTAAAAATTATTAAAAGTTGGCATTCTTGATATATATTTAGCATCTTAATTATATAATGCCATTTAATTATTTTATTTTAATAATTTTAAAAAAGAGATATCATGAAGCATACATATATTGATATAAGGATACAAGAAAAAAGTAATGTTATGTTGAACAGATGTAAAAAAAAAATAAGTCATTAGTACAGGTGAATTTTAAACAAACGCATTCTACCGTTTCTTTATATCGTTCGGCGGTGCACTACGCATATTAGTTGCTTCAAAAGAAGCTTCTTATCTACACAGATTATGAACCTACATTGATCGGTCCCTCAGGTCTCACCGGACAGTTGTTTTGCCAAATTTTCATCCGACAATGACCTATTGCAGAAAAAATGATCATAATTTTACAATAAAGATACAAATAAAAACTAACTAATGATTTTTGTTGAAAGGATGCTTGTAAGATTCTGACTAAAGTATTAATGTTAATTCCTTATGCAACTGGTGGTTTTGATACTGAACCTATACTACCACCAACCCCTCTTTTTTTACATTCATTTTTGACAGAAAAGAGCTATTTTCAACCTGTTTCTGTGAGAAGCAGGCTCACAGAGTCAGTATGTACCTTATTGATCTTGAAAGTTCACTAGTACTATAACAAATTAACATACTTTTCATCACCCCTCAACCATGTAGATTTTTAGATATTTATCTCTGAAGCAGACACATGTAAATACGTAAGTCAAGTCGGATGCACATTTGCAGACTAAGTTACGCATTTGATCTCCAGTGCTAGTCTAACTGTGACAGGCAGTCACCAACAAGGCAACCCATTTACAAGCCTAACTCAAAGTAAATGTAAACTACATTACAGATTTAGCTTATGTGTGAGTTTATAAATGCTAGGGTTGTGATAATCAGGCTCATGCCTTCTACCTTAAAAATTAGGGGGTGGTGGTGTCAAAATACGAAACTATCCAGTGAGACCTTAGCCAATTACGAGAACTCGCGAGATAAATCTAGCTAAGGCTGATCGACCGAGGCTAAGAGCCAGAAATGAGTTGCTATTATACCTCAACTACCAGCTAAATAAATAACACCGAAATTGAAGAGGTTTACAAACCGGTATGACTAAAATGCGAAAAATTACGAAAAGTGCGAAAAAATACGAGAAAAGTTATGAAAGGTTGCAAAAAGTTACATAAAATAAAGCGGAAGTTCGAAAAGTTATCTTCGATGGCAAGCAGTTTATTTAAAATTATGGTAAAATAATTAAATAGAGACAAACAGTCATACGTACAATTACATCTGTATAAAGGATATACAATATATCAATGTTTTAATTAACATTTTATACAAGTTTTACTAAGGCCCATGGAATACAAAAT